CCGAGCCTCAGTCTTCCCACTGAGGCTCTGCAGTAGCAATACCCATCTTCCGGGCTGGAGGTTGGGATAAATAGGGCAGGAGAGGATGGGGGAAAGCCCCAGAGAACAGACCGCCTTCAGGCTGGAAGATGGTGGGGACCTGGTGACAGCGGCAGTGAGGGGGCAGAGAGCCAGTGCCCAGGGGGCCCCGTGGAGGAACCCCGAGACAGAAGCAAGGCACCTCCCCTTCACGTGCTTGGAGGAAGTGGGTGTAAGGGAGGGAAATGGCAAGGCTGTGGTGTGGGGGTTCTGAGCAACCTTCATTTTTTTGTAACAAGATGCAACTGAGGTTTCTTTACCTGCTTCTAGAAAGAGGTGTGGCCATACCCGTGTTCTTGGAAAACCAACAGGCTGAGGCTTGCGGTGGATGGGAGGGTGTGGCCTGAGCCCCATCGCCAGCCGTGTTTGGGGTGTCTGCCCCCGGGAGAGGTACTCCTGTCTTTATCTCTCTGGGCTTGGAGAATAGACCACACTCGGTGCTAGGAGCCAGAAGCTGAAGCCGCTGCAGAGAGCTGGGAGCCGCTGACTGTTAGGGAGCCCAGAGAGGAGGTGCAAGCCAGTGAGCCCCCGCCACTTACAGGTCTGTGGGGTGTGAGCTGGGGAGACCACCCTCTAGAGCCCAGCCAGCCTTGGGCAAACGGCATAGCGCTTTCGGAGCCTTGGTTTCCACATCTGTGAAATGGGGATCAGCCTGCCCCCCCCCCCCCCCCCCCCCCGCCACCAGAGGACTGCTGTGCAGACCAGATGAAATCACGCTCACAGGCTGCTTAGCACCTCGTCGTCTGCACCCACCCACTCACTGTGGGGAATAATAATGTGTCTCTCAAGCAAGCCGACCAGCACCTAGGCTCCGGATTCAGAAATCCACTCAGTCCGAGACTCGCCCTCAGCTGGAGCCCTGCCCTGGGGGGAGGGGACAAGCATGCATGCTTCTTTCTGGCTGGGTGCAGTGCCCTTCATGTCAGCCCCTGGGCCGAGAAAGGGGAGACGTGGCTGCGTCAGGAAGAGGGGGGCCACTTGGCTCCTCCAGCCTCTAGTCGGCCCGGGTACCCAGCTCCTACTCCAGGCGTGTCTGGGTCATCTCACTGCCAGCTTCTGATCTGTCCCTGCACCTGCCTACATCTGGGTCACCTGTCCCTTTTGCAGACAGATCCGCCAGACAGTCTCTGTGTTGATCTCGCTCTCCACGGTCACGGTCATTGTGTTCCGGACGGAAATTCATATTAAGAAACCACCCACTCGTGCACTGACCGGCTCCCCCCCGGGGGTGCAGGGTGTCGTGGCTGCAGGCGGTGTGCCCCCCCCCCCATGGTGGGCTCCTCACAGGCAGAACCCGGGGGTGTGCTGCTGTCCCTGCCAGGGCTGGGCACCGAGCCCGCCGGGCGCACCTGAGGCTCAGTGAGTACCCGTGTGAAGTACACCGTGCCGGTCCAGGTAGGAGTTGGTTTATCACTCAGGCTCCAGTCTTGACCATGATCTTGAGCAAGTTGCTTAACCTCCTCAAGCCTCCGCTTACCCGTCGGCAAAATGATGCCGATAATAGTTCATATCACATCCTTGTGAAGATTAGCAGAGCGTTTGAGAACCAAGGGCTTGGTTTGGGAAAGTGCCCCTAAGCCAGTTCAGGTGGTCTCTGCCACTATTACTACTACGGGTTTTACTTGATCATTATTGTTACTAAAGTGATGTCACGTTGGTTTTTACCCGCATGTTTATCAGCACAGCCTTGCAAAGCAGTTGAAGCAGGTATAGCGTCCGTTTTCCCGAGGGGCAAACTAAGAAAAACACCGTTTCAGAGAAAGACCTTTCAGAGAAAGACTGTTTGTCTGCCATCACTTTTGAGTATGACATGGCCACCGGCCTCCGGGAGAAGATGCCTGTATGTTAAAAGGGCAGGGATTTTATTCAGCCGGGTCCAGTGTTCACAGTTCCCCAGATTATCACTTCTCGCGTGGAGGAGAAAGCCGTGATTTACTAAGCAGACCAGCCACACTCCTGGGGACGTAGAGTTTGGCTTCCAGTCCCCTCCTCTGCTCCCCAAAGAAACGAGAACAAACCCCCTTACGAGATTTATCATGTTTTATTGCATGACGGGAAAGAACGTCAGGGGGCTTGCCAGTGGTGACGCCCTGTGAGGGGTAAACAAGGAATGATTTATGGGCCCTAATCTCCCGCGGGGCAGGTAAAGTTGGTGGGCGTGTTTCTCGCTTCCCAGTCTCCCGGTTTAAACCCAGCAGCTGGCCGCCGAGGGTCTGGGCCAGTGCCTAGTGGCTGCCAGTTGGACAGATAGAAATGAAGGGGTGAATGGCCTGGGAGAGGAAGGATAGGGAAGCACGTGGAATTATAGGGTGATGCTGGAGGGCAGGGTGCTATGGGAAGAGAGCCATTTCGGAAGAGGTTTTCGGGGTGCGTGTTGAAAAGCAAAGGCAAGGAGGTTCTCATTACGGAACGAGGCTGCGCCCGGGCCCAGCAGGTGCAGAGCAGGGTAACTACCTGCCTGGCATATTCAGCGCCCCAGTGCTGCGTCAGGAGCTGAGAACAGAGGCCGAGGAAGGTGGGCGACGCCTGAGGAACAGCTGTGGTTTATAAAAGCCCTGCAGTTGCAAGCTCGCCTGTTGGGGCCGGGCATCCGGTGCACACGAATGAAGATAAGCACAGGAAGCCATGGGTGCCTGGAGGTGACCCAGCCTGGAGTGTGGAGGGGAGTATGTTAAAGAAAGCCTCCTGAGCATGTGACACATTAATGGTTTTGTTCATTCTCTTGTTCAGGAAATAGGCACTGGCTTTCTCCCATGGGGCAAGCGGTGTGCCCGGTGGTGGTGGTAGAGTGGTGTGTAGGATGGGCATACTTGTGAGCCCAGGGAGTTCTCAGGCCAGTGGCACATGCCGTCTGGGAGCGCAGGGGATTCTGGGCAGTGGCGGTGCCTGGCCTGTCAAGGCAGCCGGCAGAGATGTCCCTGGGAAGGGCCGTTGGTACTGAAATCTGAAGAGTATGTGGACAGCACAGAGGGATAAAGGACAGTGTCAGCTGGTGATGGGGGGAGGAAGGTCTAGGTTACAATTTACACGGATCCCTCTGGGGGCTGCTCAGAGTAGGACTGGCATCTGAGGAGGTGGGAATGGCAGGTCCGGTCAAGAGGCTGGGGCGGAGAGCACCCCCTCCCCACCTTAATTCCTCTTTCAGACAACAGGGGCTCGCAAGAAAGTTTTATTCTGGGTGCTTCCATTTTCTGTGACACTGACCCGGACTGCTCTGGCTCAGGCTACTTTGCGTGTCTTCCGTGGAAATATCCCATCCCCTCAGCGAGCTCCAAATAGAGTCTATTTATTGTCGACACCAGACGCCTTTAGACAGATAGTGGGTAAGTCTGTAGCTAAATCCTGTTGACCTTACATCTAAAATAGCTCTTGAATCTTCCACCTCTCCTTTATCCCACAGCCATGCCTTAGTTCTGGCCTTCCTCTTCCCTGGGCAATCACAAACACAGGCCGATTTTTCTTTTTTATTATCATTATTTTTAAAAATTTAAATCCAAGTTAGTTGATATACAGTGTAATACTGACTTCAGGAGTTGAATTTAGTGATTCGTCACTTAACATATAGCACCCAGTGCTCATCCCTACAAGTGCCCTCCTCAATGCCCATCACCCATTGATCTTTCCTTCTAAGTTGCAAGCTTATCGCGTGTTATCACCATTGCCGGCAGTGTAAAGATTACTTGGTAATTGTATCAGTGAGCCTTCCCTGCGTAACAAACAGCTCCAAACCTTAGTGCCTTAAGCAACAAACTGTTGTCATTTCTCCTGATTCTGTGGGTTGATTGGACACTTTTTGTGGTCTCGGCAGCTTGGCTGGGGCTCAGTGGCATGGTCCACGCACTTGGGGGCTCAGCCGGGCTGGCTGGGTTGCCTGGGGCCTCTCCCGTGGTGCTTGCCTTCCTCCAGGGGACGAGCTCGGGGGTTAACATGGCCCCAGAATGATTCCTAGCAGTTGAGAAAGGGGAAGTTTTGTGGACAAGCACTTTTTAAGCTTTTTGTCTTTTGTTATAAGGCTCATTGGCCAAAGCAAGTTACAAGGCCAAGTTCAGATTCAGAGGGTGGAGAAATGGACCTCAGTTCCTGGGGGGAGAGAGAGCAAAACCACACTGCAAAGGAGCGTGTGTACACGGGGACCCAAGCAAATGCCAAGCAAACGTCCTGATGGCTGGGAGGAGGACTATGGAAGTAGACAGAATGGGGGTGGCCCACTGGGGGCTGCTCTCTACCACTTACTGCCTTTGGCATCCTGCTCAGGGCTGCTCACAGGAGCTCTCCGAGCTCCAGTTGCCCATCCATAAAATGGGAATAATCACAGAGGCCACCCCAGGGATTTCGTGAGAAAATGTGTGGTCTCTGCGGCCCTCAGTGCTTGGGACACAGTAAGAACTCAATTGAGGGCCTCTGTTCTTCCTCTTCGGTGAGGCCTTCCAAAACCGTCTCCCACCCGGCCCACCTGGGGCATCCTAATCCCGAACTCACAGTTTTCTTTATCTTCTTCCTCAGGGACACTTTCCCCAAACCTTTTCTTTTTGCCAAATGGCATTTCACTTGAGCAAGAAGCAGCTAAAACTGTCCATCTGCTCTTCTCAACCCGAGTCGGTCATTTCTTCTCCCGTCGCTCTCCCAGATATCGTTCGCACCCTCGTATGGTGTTGCCGTGAGGTATTTATTTTTCTGTTTTCTCCACCAGCCTGAGCTTCTTAAAGGTTTACTCACCTTTCTGTCTCTGGTACTTGGCTGCGTGCACTGAACAGGATAGGTGTTTATTTCAAAAAACAAATACTTGATGTATAAATCACCGGGCGGGGGAGTGGAGCAATGGTGAGTGCCTTTTAATCGTCCTGAGTCATTTTCAAAAGACCGCGGATGAGCAAAATGTCAAAAATGACTTAAGCTTTCCTCCTCTTCGTCTTCCCTTTCAGTTGGGACCATTTTCAGACTCAACCTTTCTGACCTGGAAATGCCAGAAGTAACTATCATCGCGAGGGGCCGTGGTGAGCAGACATTTTGAGCTTTGTGGCCAGGACAGTTTCATTTGAGGACCGGAAGTGGACGGTCCCCCACCTCAGCCTACTTAGGTAAGTGACTGTGCTCTTCCCCTCGCACGAGTGAGAGGTATTGTCCTTTCTGGTTTCTTCCACAGATGAATTTGAGTAGCGGAGGAAAGATGTTTTGTCTTGTTCCCTTTATAATTTGGCCTCCTCTTCCGGGGATCTTCCATTAAGAGGGACCGCTTCCTCCTAAAGGGAAAGATGTGGGGCCATTAGAACATCAAGTAATGTCTTTTTCTTAAAAGGAGAGCCCTCTGTGTTTTCAGTAAGCAATACTTACAAACCGGATTGGGAACAGCCTTGTATGACCAGTGTCTGGTGTCCCAAAGAAGGTCTGGAATGACTCTGTGCTAGAGTGCCTGTCAGCCCACAACTATGACCCACAGGGCAAAACTGGCCTGGCCGGTTTTTGTAAATAAAGTTTTATTGGTACCCAGCCACACTCCTCCATCCAAATATGTCTGTGGTTGCTGTCACATCACAACAGCAGTGGTGACGGAGGCTGTGTGGCCTGAAAGCCTGAAATATTTACAGTCTGGTCCTTAATGGAAGACGTGTGCCAGGCCCCGGGCTAGAGTTAAGCTGTCCACATCTGGCCACTCCATATGTGGCTACTTAAATGTTAAGTCATGACAATTAAACAAAATTAAGAATTCAGCCCTCATGCTCACCACATTTCAAGTGCCCAGTAGCCACATGGGACCCATGGCTACCATTTTGGACTGTGGACATTGAGAATGTTTCCATCAGTGAGGAAGGCTGGCTTGGGTAAACTTTGATCACCCTGGCATGTCTCTCTTCACTCTGCCAGTGTCTAACTCAGCTTGGAAATAATTGCAAGCACTGTGGAAGAAGGTTGGTGCTCGTATGTGTGCGTGCATAACTGTCCTTTATGGTTCTTGGTGAGGGCGTCTATATATGTGTCTACCTACTTATCTATAAAAATGGAATTACTTTTAAAATTTCTTTGGACAGCCGACCTGTGGTTGCTGTATATATTTCCATGTGAAAACTAAGCCACTTGGACCTTGGGATTTATCAGTTTTATATATACGAATAAGTTGATACAAATATGAGCCTTTCTGTGGTCGTAGGAAGGTCACACAGAGTATGAGGCCTCCTGCAAAGGGGAAGAAGCAATGGCCAGTGTCTCCATTGGCTGAAGACAGGGCCAAGGGAGATAAGAAACAAAGAGAGGGAGAAAATGATCCCAATATATGATTTTTTTGAGTCTTGGAAGAATGAGGAATTATGGAGACAAAAGGTAATAGGGAAGGGACTGTGGGTTTACTTTCCAAGAACATGTTAAACACATTGATGATGATTGGGACTGTTACCACATCTCAGAACTGGTTCCTGAGCACAGAAGACCCATGGGAGAAGCTTGGGGTTGGCCATGGTCCCGCCATCTTGGATGGGTCAGAACTGGGGGTATAATAGGAGGTTCTTCTTGTCGAATGAGGCAGTGTGCATTGCAGAATAAGAGGCCCAATCCCTGGGATACATGGTGTTTATGGAGGGGTCTGAAGAGAGAACAGAGAAGAAACTCTAGGTATCTAGGAGGTCTATAGGCAGAGGCCCTAGGTTGTGTCTTGAAGAACTGGGCTTAGTTGACCTTGGGTTGCCCAGGAACTAGCAAGCACAAAGCAGAGATTTGGGTGATGGAAAAAGATTGAGCTGATGTGTGTCCATACATGTAGATCCGAATGGGTGCTGCCTCTTCTCTCAGTTGGTCTTCAAGGTCATCACCATTGCAGGTGAGTACTGGAAGCACCTGAAACATGTGTTTCCATAACGGACCTTCAGACAATGGAGTTTAAGGCAGATGTGAAGTAATTAGAAGTCACAGTAAGAAAGGGTATTGAGTTTTTAGCACTTAGTATCAAGCACACCAGGGAAAACAGTGGTGATGGTGCTGATGTTAACAGTGATAATACCATCTATACATTTTAAGCTTATTATGTGCTGGGTGCACCGTTCTGGTAACGATAATTATTATGATAATAGCTTCAGATTATTGTGCTAAACGCTGTAGTCACTTTTTCTCAGTATATGAACCCCGAGTATTCTTTTCAATTAAAGATTTTTTTCAATTACTTTATTTTGATATAATTGCAAATTTACAGATAAGTGGCAAAAACAGCCACACAAATTCCCAGGTACCCTTCACTCGGATTCCTTAAGTGTTAACGTTGTACTATTTTTGCTCTATCCTTTCCTCTATTTTTTCCCGAAATCAGAAAATTCTTGTCACCACAATACAACTAAGTCAGAAACTGAACATTGACTTGCCACTAGTATCTAATCCTCAGACCTTATTCAGACTTCACCAGTTGCCTTCAGGGAAGTCCTTCATAGCAAAAGAAAACCCATTTGGTGTGTGTCCTGCTTGGAAAACGTCCTTAGTCTTGTATTTCGTGACATTAGCGTTTTTGACACATTGAAGCCAATTATTTTCCGGAATCTCCCTCAGTGTCGGATGCTCCCCCGTGATTAGATTTAGATTTTCTTCTTTCGCCGGGCTTCCCACAGAATTCCTGTCGGGTCCTGAGTGCCTCACATGGGAAGGCGGAGGCTCGTCCATCCCACTGCCTCCCGCGATGCTGGCTTTATCACTTGGTTAATGATGGGATCAGCAGTTGGTCAAGGAGCCTTGGATCCTTTCGGTGGAGAATGGGATCTAGTCACAAGGTGTGTCCACTGCTACTGACGTGGCATTGCCTCTAGGGCCTCTAAGCAGACAGAGCTGGGAAATGGGCAGTGTGTGTGTGTGTGTGTGTGTGTGTGCTTATAGATTCGTGCATACATACACACACATATACACGCCTCTGTATTTATAGACATATGTATACACATCAGCATATACATCCATATACGTCATATATATGTGAATCTACACACATAGGTACATCATCTAGACTATTTCTAAATCAACTGATATATTAAGACCACCACGAGTCCACACTGGAGACACTGGCTACAACATTCGACATTGACATCTGTCTTAATGACGCTGAACAGTCACCCAGCCCCACTGCCAATACCACAGGCCACCACTTTTATTAAACTATGGGTTGGGCCCTGTTCCAAACTCTTCCCTTACCGTTACCTCTGGTAACAACCCAGTGACCCAAGTATGGATGACGAAGCAAGACTCCCAGAAGGTAATTAGCTTACGCGAAGTTACGCAGCTAGTAAATGTGGCAAGTTTACAGCAAGTGCTTGTTTGCCTGCTGGCATTTGATCAGATGACCTGGGGAGATACTGCCGTCCCAGAAGAAAACCAGAGGCCAAGGCGGAGGAAGTGTTTGTCCCCGTGGCCCCGAGATCACTGACGCCCATAGCAGCAGGCACTGACATTCATAGTAGCAGGAAGGCGACAGCTTGGTGGTGGTCACTTCCTTCACTCCCCAGGATTGTTTACAGGCGGTGGCTCTGATGGAGGGGTGAAACACACAATGGGTGTGCAGAGAGGCACGTGGGGGTGCAGGGCTGTGCATCCGCGGGGGCCTGTATGTATGTGCGCATGCACGTTTTCGTGGGGGGAGGGGCGGTGTGTGGCTGCTGTCTGGGGCTGGCACAGACCTTGATCAGGTTGAGGGCTTGAATGGGGAAGTGGGCCTCTCTGGGGAGAGGGCACTTCCTCTCTTGCAGTGTGGTATCCCTGGCCGAGTTGCTTAAGCACAGAGGCTTTAACTTAAACACGTTCGTTTCCCTGGCTCCCAGCAGAACGTTTGTAGGTTGTGATTTTGTTGAGTGTCATTCGTGCACAGGAACATCTATTTCTGAGCTGTTTCTATGTGCCAGGCACTGTCCCGGGCAGACAGAGGGAGCTCACATCCTAGCAGAGAGTGGGGAAGGGGAAGAGACTGACGGTAAGCAGGGACATAACTATGCAGAGGGCAGAGTGGGGGATGGGGGTTGGGGGGGTGGGGACAGGCGGAGAGCACATGTAGCATGCTGGTCCAGGAGGGGCACTCCGAGGAGCTGTTGGAACCCAGCGACACTGCCCAGGCAGAGCACGACCGTGAGGGTGAGGAAGCCAGGCTGCCAGGCAGAGGACATACGGGGACCCATCATCTGCGTTTGCCCTGGAAAGCCAGGCCCGTTTGCTCCAGGGTATCTTTTCAGGCTCAAAGAGCTGTGTACTGGGCATTGTCCCTCAGGACTTAAGCATTTGCTCTGAAAAAATAAATGTTATCAGCGGGCCCAGAAGTGGACTGGAGGCCAAGGCGGCCTCACTAGGTAAGAGATGGTCCTGGTCGTCAGAGGTCCTGAAATGGGCAGCAGTGAGACCCAGGTGGAATTTCTACTGCTGATAACCTTTAAGAGAAAAGCAAGAGTTTCGGGAACGGGGGCTGATTCCGTGGAAGAGAGGAGCCCTGGGGGCCGGCTTTGACCTTCTGAAGAAGTGGCAAGCACCTTGTACGGGACGATTTTAAGGAGGACATCCAGGAGTGAGTGGAATTAGTAGAGAGGTTTTGGTTCAGGCTGCATTGTTCCTTCCTTCCCTCCCATGCATTCATTCATTCATTCATTCATGCAGCAGACCCTCTGGGTCCCTGGCACTGTGCCTAGAACCTGGGCGGGGGTGGGGGGAAGGAGGGAGGATAAAACAGGAAGACAAGAGCTCTGTCCCTCGAGATATTAATACTTTAATGGGAGGAACAGACAAATGCACAAATCAGTGGTGTATACAGTTTCAGTTTGGAGCTTGGTGAGGCCTGAAGCTAATACAATCTGTGAGTTCTCTTTAAGAAATAATGATACAGGGGAGCCTGGGTGGCTTAGTTGGTTAAGCGTCCAACTTTCACTTAGGTCATGATCTCGCGGTTCGTGGGTTCGAGCCCCGCGTCGGGCTCTGTGCTGACTGCCAGCTCAGAGCCTGGAGCCTGTTTCAGAGTCTGTGTCTCCCTCTCTGTCTGACCTTCCCCTGCTCACGCTGTCTCTCTCTCTCTCTCCTAGAAATAAATAAAAGTATTAAAAAAAAAGAAAGAAATAATGATACAAATTATGAGTTTCAAATG